AATTATTTAGAACTTGAGCCTTAGGCGTTAACAATTTTTATTAATTCACGTTTGCGTTGATGTATGAAAAGAATAACTTAAAAACTAGTCAATTTTCTTAAAACTAAGTAAAGAATAAATTATCAGAGACATTACTGTCATTTTTTGTCGTTACTACTTCCCCCGTTAGTTGTGAAAATTAGCACCAAACACAGGGGTAAGTTGTAGCACTGCACTTTTTCTAGAAACTATAAATTTTGAAAATATAAACAATAGTTTTGGAATTATTTTTACTTGTTTTGGTAACATCTAAGTAGCTTTATTTCATAAAAATATATCAGTGAATCTCGAAATGCATTAACTTAAAAGAAACGATTACAGAAAGCTCGCAGCTTTTCTATAAGTCATATTTAAGCAGCTAATGTTTCAAAGAAAAATAATAAATAAATATATTAATATAACTATTTATTTCCTCTAATTTCGACGCTAGAAAAGCGTCACCATTGAGCTTTAATAATATATAACATTGAATGAATAAAAAAGTAACAAATAATATATGAAATAAATAAAAATAAATTTCAAAGCCTTTTCAAACAGATTTGGCAATCATTTTGACTTCATTTAATTATTATGTTTTAAAAATTTGTTTACTAACTTGTATGCTTTATATTCAGTTATTTTATATATTATCAGTTGTAACCCATATTTATTAAATGAATCATTTTATTTCAATTTAGCTAAATCATGACACACTTCTAAAATGTCGAAACTACTAATCAAATTTTTTATTTAATACATTTTTTCGACGCATTGGCTGCTTATATATGACTAATGTATCAACGCTGAAACCGAATTTAAGAATATATATATATATATATATATATATATATATATATATATATATATATATATACATCCGTTTAATGCGACCTATATTTTTGTAATTTTATTCAACCGACGACATTTTTTCTTTTTCAATCACAAAAATTTATTGGAAGCACCGTCATTGACAACTTTACACCTCATCAGATAGCAACAACTATTTTCATTTATCGGTAAAAAAATATATTAAACATTTCTTGTTGGTTTATCACTTATACAATAAGTAACATCAGTGATCTATATTTAAAAAATTAAAAAAAAAAACTATCGCATCTTGTTTTAAAGCCTATATATTATATCCTAATGATCCATTGACCCTCTGCTACCGTGTTTGATGGCATTTGATATAGTATTATGAAGAAGGACACTAAAAGGATAATTAAACACAAAATATCAATTTATGTTATAAATACTATAAACCGACCATCAGAGTGATTTAGAAACGAGTTGTCTTGATCATAGTGATCCTCAAGGCGAATCCTACTTAAAGCAGTTACACATTTCTTGGGGCATTTTTTCAATGCTTCTGCTATAGAAACTAATACCAAAGTTAGTTTTTCATAATATGAAATTTTCCGAACTTAAGATATTCTCGGATATACATATATATATATATATATATATATATATATATATTATACATACATTGATTAGGTTTACAATGTACAATTTCATAAAACGTCAAATATAAGAGATACAACATATTAAGAATTGTAACAGCGAAAGCGACTCGCTCTAATTTGAAATGAGGCCTGGCTGTAAAACTCTGGCGAAAGGCTGTTTTATTATAATTATAATACGTACTTCACGATATATAAGCCAATAGTTCTAATTTAACATTCTCTTCGATGACGGACACAATATCATCCGCGTTTTGTAAACACTATAATCCAAAATATATGTCCCGCACTGTGCCCAATTTTTTCCATTGTTCAAAGACGGAAAGGCAGAAATTGATGTACCGAGAATGGGATGTATTATATCAAATGTATGAAGACGATATATATATATATACATATATATATATATATATATATATATATATATATATATATATATATATATATATATATATATATATATATATATGTATATATATATATATACATATATATATATATATTGAAATGAATAAAACAGCCAATGCGTCGAATGTAAACAATTTAATTTATTTTTTATACGTTTCGAGACTAGATGTGTCTCATCATTCAGCAGATCAGGAAAAACCCACTTTACTAAAACATTTTACAACACCACAATCACATGACACTACTGTAGGAAAACAAAAATAATTTACGAAAAGACCGAAAAAGGTAGATGTAAAAATGTATAAAATACATAATTATTTGTTTTCAAAGCATAGCAACACGAATGGACTAAGAATTGATTCTTAGTCCATTCGTGTTGCTATGCTTTGAAAACAAATATTATGTATTTTATACATTTTTACATCTACCTTTTTCGGTCTTTTCGTAAATTATTTTTGTTTTCCTACAGTAGTGTCATGTGATTGTGGTGTTGTAAAATGTTTTAGTAAAGTGGGTTTTTCCTGATCTGCTGAATGATGAGACACATCTAGTCTCGAAACGTATAAAAAATAAATTAAATTGTTTACATTCGACGCATTGGCTGTTTTATTCATTTCAATATGTTTCAACGTCGAACAAAAAATCATCAAGATATATATATATATATATATATCGTTATATTGATTGTCGCTGTAAATGATCATGGTCATATAAAATAATGCCGATTTTTGAATAATTTTTTGAAAAATGATTTTAGATCCTTATTTCAATTTTGTTCCTTTTTCTTTCGCAGCTACTATTTAAGCCATAATACTGTAAACCCAGCTTCTATTTCTAAATACTTTCTTACATAATGTAGGAAAACCAGCATCAAACTGCAAAATAATAATAATTATGATATGTGATCATTCAGCCAAAATGCAAAATTTCTTTTATGCTCAGAAATAAAGTTTTTATCCGAGTTTTGTCACTGTAAAAATAACTTAAAGCTGCATGCTGACAATTCTATTCGAAGTGAGCTTTGCAAAATTGACAAAAAATAACATATACTAATTTTGCACACATTTTTCGATTAAATAATTACGAAAAACAGTAAAATTGTATCGTAAGAGCATGTCTCACTCGAGTATTCATTTATAAATGTTTTATAAATTTGTTTCATCTTTGAGAACTATAGACAAAGAACTTCGAAAAAAAATCTCGTAAGTTTAAAAAAATATCTAGGAGAATATCTAAAATGTCGTACAATAACATGGTGCTAATCTATATGTCTGCAATGATAGCAACAAACAACTCAAACATAGACTCTTAGAGTCCTATTGAACTAATCTCTATATACCATACCATCCGTGAATACTTGTTTAACTATGCCATCAGACTCAACAGGAGCACCCCAAATCAAATTAACCTTTATTATCATCCGGAACCAGCATTGTAAAATGTAAAATGGTGGATGGCATCGTGCCTCAAAGCAAATTGCTGGATCTTCCCGTATCATTTTTTTTAAAGAAGATTCTTTTCAATTCAAATTCAATTCTTTTTAGAACCTAAAATTTAGAATTTAAAAATTTTTGAATTTTTTTTTTAATATTTGAATTCTTTTTATAAATTGAAAATTTTAAAAAAGTTGAACTCTTTTCAAAGCAATCGCGATTCCTTAGCGCGAGAGCGCCGCGTTGCAGTCTAACGAATAAGCATTAGTACGGAACCCATAGAAATGTAAACAAAATTTGTTCTTATTATTAAAATATCTATAAAATATCTGATAATAAAATATCTGATAGGCATGTCTAATGATCATTTTTGACCACCAAATGAAATCTTCGTAACCGCCTTCCCAAAAATTTTGTCAGTTGTTCATTTCGTTAATACAAATAAAATGTTTTTTGAATTATTCAAATCGGATCCTACGCTCTCTCAAAAACTGAATTACCATTTTTGGCTTTTTTTGCTCCGTATCTTCGGAACAGCCAAACTTGCCTTTGCCAAAAACTAACCAGCACGTCTCCTTATCAATACAAATCGAATGTTTTTTTAATTATCCAAATCGGTTGATCCGTGTTACCGAAATCGTCGACAAAAATTTGTATCCGCACACACACACACGCACACACATACATCCATTTTTTCTAAGGTATGCCAAAATGTTTAGAAACCTTTGAAACATAACGACACATAAAAATTTTTATTTTTGATTTTTGTGCGATTACTATAACTTACCATACGGGAGGTTAATAATAAAACGGACCAAAAAAGATATTAGAATGATTTTTTGTTTCACAAGCATAGACTATGAATTGACAACTTCTTATTACTGGGTGGATAATACGTATCTGTAGAATTAATGAAAGTCTCACAATACATATGAAATTGTACTTCTAGTTTTTTGAATTCGATTTTATTTTTTTATGCATTCTATGTTATTCACTTCTTATACTCCAACCATATAATATCAATCACTAAAATCCTACGATGAGAATGTTGAGTATGCACGTTATATATGTTTTTAATTTCCATAAGAAAACTGATACAACTTTATTATGATTTTACCAAACAAATTTAACGAATTATGAGTTTGTATCCGAAATGAAAGACAACGATGGAATAACTAGCAGCAGTCTATTATTTTAGGTCCTGTTAGGATTCTATATGATAATTGAGATAGTGCCTCTACCCACGGTAAGTATTGTTTAAATCAATATTATTAAAAACCATAATGAAAATATTGCAATTAATATAACTGAATTAAGTGATTTAGTTATCAATTATTATGTTTTGATAATTTACTGATTTTTTTAATTGTTATTTTTTGGAGAAGTCAACTAAGAGTTTCAGGCCTTCTATTCATTATGGGTATTGACAAGAAATACCAATAATAATTGCCTCAATAATTTATCTCGCTCGTTGTAAAATTTATTTTCTCTAATAAGTATTCAATTTCAATTCAAAGTTCAATTTATTTCATTCGAAAACGCTTGAATTAAATGTTATCTGAAAGTGTTTGAAAAGCCGAACTCATTGAGTTATCATGAAAATGTCAATTACCAATTATGAAGTTCAATCAAAAAGCATTTTTAATATCAAATCATGAAATAAATAGTGGAATTTTCAGGACACAATTGTCAGTCAAAGAGTTGATTGCGCAAAATGCTGAAGTGTGGATTTATCGTTGTTTTCCTTGTAGCCTCCGCCTTGGGCGAGTGTAAGTGATAATAGTAAAGTTGAAATAATAATTTTAAAATATTAAGTAGAATAGGTTCAGTCTAGATTTAAGTAAAGTTAAATATTTTTATTCCCATATTAATTTCTAATATTTTCTTTAAAGACTTAGTGAAATTCTAACTATTCATACAAGTGATATTATTGTTAACAGTAATTGATTAAATGTCTGATTTGAAGCTTTGAATTTGTCGACAGATTTACTTTTATAATTAATGAGATGCCTTTTTCCAGTTTCGCTCGACGACCGCATCGTAGGCGGCAGCAGTGTTAATATCGAGAACTTCGGATGGCAAGTGTCCTTGTTCGATCGTATGGGACACTTCTGCGGTGGTTCCATCATTAGCGACGAATGGGTCTTGACAGCAGCACATTGCGTATTTGAGTAAATTACATATAACAACCTATTCAAATGTCTCCTTTTTCATTATTAAAATCGATTCTCAATTTTTTGCAATAGCCTATTCTCGCCAAAGCAATATGCAGTGCGTGTCGGAAGTAGTTTACATAACAAAGGTGGATTTATCCACAAAATTGCCAAAGTATATATCCATCCAGACTACGATGAAGTAAGCTACGACAATGACGTCGCAGTCCTGAAAGTTGAAAAGAGATTTAGACTGAACGGCAAGAGCGTTCGCACAGTTAAATTGGTTGACGAAGATCACGAGGTTGATGATGGTGCCCAGCTTACTGTCACTGGATGGGGCAAATTAAGTGTAAGTTTGCAGTGAGGAGTTAAGAGAGAGGATCAAAAAATTAAAAAAAAAACAACTTTTTACAATTTAGTTCTCTGGTTCATTATTGATTCACTAATTTCCCTAAAAACAATGCAGAATTAAGTCATTAATTTTCTATTGAATATTACAGGAATCAGGCCCCAACCCAGTAAAATTACAAGGAGTGAAAGTGCCTTTTGTCGACCATGATACATGCTCCGACAGCTACGTCTTTACCGGAAAACAAATCACCGACAAGTAAGCTGTGCATAAACTCTAATCAGCACTAATACCTAATACCAATAGCTGTCAATATAAAATCAATTTCTATAAAAACGAATCACTTAAAATATTTTTGTTTCTAGCATGTTGTGCGCTGGAGTCAAAAAAGGTGGCAAGGACTCCTGCCAAGGTGACAGCGGTGGTCCACTCGTGGACGCAAACAAAAAGCTTGTCGGAGTCGTCTCTTGGGGAAATGGTTGTGCCAGACCAACAAACCAGGTGTATATGCCAAAGTTGCCGCATCAGGAATTAGAGAATTCATTCGCAAAAAAACTGGCGTTTAATCTTGTATTATGTAATCAAATGTAAAGAAAAAAAAATAAAATTATTTGATTTATGCAATTTTATTGTCTTATTTATTCAAAAACTAGGTTAGTTATCTATTCTAGTCCAAGTAGTAAATTCTTTTGCAGACTTCTTTAGAAATAAACACTTTAAAAAAAATCATGCAGCAATATATATTTTTAAAAAGTATGGATCTAAAATGATTTATATTAGTATCTACAGTATGTATATAAAAATAAGTATTGCATTTTTGGTAAAAAATACCCAAAATTTAAAACAAAATTACAAAAACACAAAAACTTGAAATTAACTAGTAGTCGATTGTCATTCAAATAATAACATCAAGCAAAAATTATGCGATGCAAAATTCTCTAGACTAAATAAGTATTCACTTATATAAAGAAAGCCTTTAACAAACTTCAACAACTATTTACTGAAAGTAAATTTACTGGACCAACGAATCTGATTTCTCTAAAGCGCTCCTTTACCCAATTAAATTTTAAATTGTTTCTGACTCTATCAAACAAACTTTCAAACTTATAAAAAAACAACGAAAAAAAAAACAAAATCTATGCAAAAGTTTTCACATCACAATTTATGAAACTTTGAAGTAAAGCGAAATTCAAGGGCTTTGGTATGGTTAAACAATGTTTAGAAGCTCAGCCCGAAAAAATAAATTTCAAATTACAGTCTTATTCGAAAAATAATTAATAAATTAAAAAAAAATAATAATTAATAAATGAACTCACATACGATAGTATTTATTTAAGCTAGCTATGATGAAACTATTATATATTGACAAATAAATTAAAACCATCAAATCGCAATGGATTACAATTGAACGCCTTGTATTCTTTAGTTGGAACCCCTCAACCCTTGAACTACAAATAGTATCCTCCGTGCAGCTTGTATAAGAGAATTAAAAAGAGTTACAAAAAACTGTAATGGAAAGAGTGGATAATATCGTAGTCCAATAAACTGAATTAGAAGTCGAATAAATTTTCTGAACAACCAAAAATACTGAAGTTAAAGTTAATCGTTGCCTTAAGGCACGATGCCATGCACCCCACTAGTTTAAAATGTTTTCAAGATCTCATAGTTCAACTTTCAAAGTATATAATAGTAATATTATCTTTCAAGATTAATTCCATCTCAAGTGCCAAATTCAATCCATTAGTAAGGTTGTGAAGGTTTTATACAATTATTAACCAAGTAGAATTATTAATCAAGTACGTTCAAGTACGTAACACTTGAACTATTTTATTACCAGAATTACAAATAATTTAATTACGCATTCATAATAATCTTATAATTAGATTGACGTTAATTAGACAGTAACTTGATTTTAAGACTGTGTAAATATTATACCATATCTTGAACTTTGCTTGCTTATTAATCATATGCGTGAATATTTAGAACTTTGTACTTGTATTGCTGAAAATAAAGCACAAAATGTATTTCTATATTTTATTTTGAAAAATGCAAAGGAAAATTAAAGGTGTTCTTGATCCAGTGGTAAAAATTTTAACCTTGCTACCACAAGATTTCGATTTAAAATCCTGCGTTGCGTTTACTTGATAATAATATACAACAGATATATGTTTTCAAGTAACAATTTTCGTGGCATTACTGTTAAAAGTTATAAGGAGTCAAAAATACTAATTTGCAATATGTAAAACTCGAATCCTGTTGAAATAGACAGATTGAATTGCATATAAAAATAAAGAGAAAAGCATGGTAACATTTCCTTATCATAGTAACATATTGAATAGAATTATACTCTCACTATAATATTCTATTAATTTAAATATGAATTGTATTTTAAATACTATTTTATTTGAATTATAATAATGGTAGTGATATTTTAGTATCCAATAAAGGATAACTTAAGTGATCGTCAAAACGAGACGATTAAATATATCAATTTTATTAAATGTAATTAATAAAAAAATACCAAAGCGTTTATCAAGGAATGTTTTTTGTAGAATAAAATCAAAATGGGATATACTTGAAAATAAAGTTGCCCTGTATAGTAATTCAAGATCTAAAAAATATATATTTATCACAAATACTTTAAATAAGTTTGTTTCTTCAGGCAAACTGTACCTGTCAAAAATGACAGACCTGCACAGTTCTGTTTATTGCGTTAGCCTGCGGGATAGTAGCTATGGCAATATTATGCAGAACCGTTTAAATGTCCAATCAAAACAAAAAATGATTTAATATGGTTTAAGATTTTATTAAAAAACGCCTGTAAGTTATACCAGTTACAGATAGCCCCTAGCTCCCCTATATAGATTTATTTTTAATTGCTCGCCCATTACAATTCAGAATGTGATTTCTATTTTAGTATAAAAAATTCAAAGTTCAATACAGATATTCTACTTGAAAACACAGTATTTGGAAATGCTTGAAAACCCAATCTCAAACCAGTAAGAGCACTTATTAATTATCAAGAAAACAATCAATTCTCAAGTACGCGGAATTATCAAAAAGCATTTTTATTTTATGTTCATTAATAAATAGCGGAATTTTCAGAAAACAATCGCCAGTAAATAAGTTGGTTTCACAAAATGCTGAAGTGTGGATTCATCGTTGTTTTCCTTGTGGCGGCAGCCTTGGGTGAAGGTGAGTAAAGTTATACTTTTAGAATATAAATATTATAAACATTTTTATATGTCCACAATAAATTCTAATCTATTAATTTGTTTTCAGCAGAAAAAACAATGAGCAAGTAATTGCTTAGAAGTTAACTTCAATAATAGAAAAACAATCGTATTTAATAAGCAAATTGTTTCATCAGTGATTTATAAAATTAAATTTGATCTATATTCATTTTTTGAATTAATGGCTTAAGTAAATCCAAAATGATCAAAGTTAATTATATATTTAAATTTAATTTATCTCATCACTTTACATCCGTAATAAACTTTTCAATTCAGCCCTATCAGTTTCCAAACTTGTTGTTTTTACACAAATTGTTACAAAGAGAAACCCCAAACATTTATTACATTAAACATTACAATTATATTTTTCCAACAAACTTGTATATTTTTCATTTCTCATTTTAGATTCGGTCGTCGACCGCATCGTCGGCGGCACCAGTGTTAAAATTGAGAACTTCGGATGGCAAGTGTCCTTATTCGATCGTAAGGGTCACTTTTGCGGTGGTTCTATAATCAGCGACGAATGGGTCTTGACTGCTGCACATTGCGTATACGAGTAAATTTTCATATAAACATGTTGAAATGTCTTGCCCCTTATTAACAAAACTGATCATCTACTTTTTGGAACAGTTATTTCTCGCCAAAGCAATATGGAGTGCGTGTCGGAAGCAGTTTACGCAACAAAGGTGGAGTCCTTCACAGAATTTCCAGGGTACACATTCACCCAGACTACGACACGGTCAGCTACGACAATGACGTCGCACTCCTGAAAGTTGAAACCAAATTTAAACTAAACGGCAGGAGCGTTCGCAAAGTTAAATTGGTTGACGAAGATCACGAGGTTGATGATGGTGCCCGGCTCACCGTCACTGGATGGGGCAAATTAAGTGTAAGTTGAGAAAATACAATTAATTTTTCGATTTGGTATTTTGCTGTTACCACTGAAAACAATATAAGTTAAAATCACTACATTACTAATGGGCATTGCAGGAATCAGGACCCAAGCCAGTAAATCTACAAGGAGTAAAAGTGCCTTATGTGGACCAAGATACATGCTCTGACAGCTACGTCTTTGCAGGAAAAGATATCACCGAAAAGTAAGCTGTGGAAAATTTATATTTATACTAAAATTAATAACAGTTAGATATTCATCACATATTGT